CTAAATATTTTAAATTATCCAATTGAAATTTTCTTTTTCTGTAAGTTCTCCAAATATCTCCTCATCCTCCACCCTTGCCTGACTTGTTGTCGACCAGCCTTCCTTCTCCACCTTCTAGCCTTTCTTCCCCACTATCTTCCCCCACTGGCACCATGGCTGAGTTCTCTTCTTCCCCTTACTCCGAATCGATTTCCCCTCTTTGTTCCTCAACTTCATTAATCGTTTTCTCCCCATCTCTACTGCAATTTGCAGCCACATCATCTATATGGGCCGCCACCCTTCTATAAGCGTCCCCTTGGCCTCCTCGATTTCCTTTGTGACCATCTCCAAAATGGCCCCCATTGTCTGACACCCAGATTTGTCGTTTTCACCAACCTCGCACACTACTCACGAAACGAGTTGTCGAATCAGGGATCTCCATGTTTCCAAACCCTGACCCCTCCTGACTCGGCCAATGATGTAAGCCTACGAGGGCCTTTTTAATTTGTTAACCCACTTAGGCCTAAAACCTTGACCAATCCACAAACCTCTTTTGAACCCCAGGCTTCCAACTAATCTTTGTTTGGGCCAATCCACAAGCCTGTTCACATTCCGAAACTCATGCCTTGTATGATCTCCAGGCCTCCAACAAACCTTCGTATGGACCTATCTGTACCGGGCCTGGTCACGCTTCTAGGCTATTCTAAATGGCCACTTCTTCCATAATTTTGGTCCTTTTCCAAATGCATTCTCCTCCTCTTGTCTTGGCCACCTTGCACTTGAATTTCAAAATTCTTCCAACCCGAATTTGATATGGATCCTGTCTTCCTCACCCGGTCATTCTCCTTTACAAATCCGTGAACTACCACTGCAAAACTTTCCTTCTTCACCTCTTCCACCAGTATCCTGAGCTCTGTTTGGCACCTAGGGAAGCAGAGCCGTGGCAGCTCATGCACCTCCTCAACACTAGATCTCCCCTCATTCACTTGTCAATGTGCCAACTGTGCACACTTGTCAATTGGCTCCCATTTATGCCCAACTACCTCCACCACTGCCACCATCACCCTCCACCATCCCACCACCTCTCTTCCTTCCAACCAAAAACTTTGGTGAACCGCCTTCCCCTTCTCCTCCCAAAACACCAGGAATTGTCCCCTGCTGTTGTGTCATAATGCCACCTATAAAGTGTGTTGTCTCCCTTCTTATTTCTTCCCCAAAATTGCTTTGACCAATTAAGGTCCACTAAAGTCTCCAACAACCACTCGATGTCTCCCTCACTTATATGAGATTGATACTCAGAAGCCCCCTTGACCATTCTTGCTCACTCGAATTCCCTCGGTGTGGCTTCCTTCACAGACAACATCATGCAATTTATTTTCCACCAATAAAAACCTCCTCTTCATTTGTTGCATATTCGCCTCCTTCACCCTTTGACTTTGAAAGGTTTATCATTATTGATTAAATGTTTATGGTCTTTTCCCCAAACACCTTCAATGTGGTACATGGTGATTAAAAATCTCATATGAGTTAATAAAGTAGATGGGATGCAGTTGGTGGGAACTCCATCCAAAATAGAAGTCCATGGAGAGCCATCTTCAATTGGGTACACCCTTTGACTCCCCTCACCTAATATAAAATCCGAGATGACTCGAAGGTTTTATTTTGCAAAGATTATTTGAGGAGGGACCATCCTCTAACTACCCAATTTCTCCGCCTATTTAACACCTCTTCATGCCATAGTGCTCCAATCAATCAATTTGTATGCCAAACCGATAAAATTGTAGCATGAAATTCCTATTTCTTCACAACCTAAATGATAGAGAGACAGCTAAGACCACTACCCTATTGAATGTTAGAACTTTTCCAAATATCCTAACAGTTGGATGGTAGGATGTGGACTTCAGAAACCTATGGCACATATACTTGCAAATCCTTCTTTGACCACATTGCCCAATATCCTGATCATTATCATAATCCTTTAACCAAAGCATTTTGAGAAGCTAAGGTTCCTCTAAGGTGAAGGTGTTCGCATGGACCACAATTCTAAATCAATTAAACACTAATGATTGTTGCAAATTTGTATGCCTAATCGAGCTTTTCTTCTACATGCTTGTGTAATATGCCGAAGAAGAGAGAAAAACATAAAATTTATTTCTTCCATGAAGCGATTTAGATATTGTGGACAAAGTTATTTGATACATTTGACTTAAACTGGATAACACCTTTCCCTCTGGAGTATTTTATGAACACCAACGTTTGTGGCTTAGGTTGAGGGAAAAGCCAAGCCTTTGTGGCTAGATGCTTGGTATTGAGGTTTATGGCAAATATGGTTGAAATAAAATCATTGGATTATTGAAGATGGATCCTTCCCAATTGAAAGTTTACGGGAAAAAGATAAGGTTTTTAGTCTTCCTATAGGCAAAGGTTCATGGAAAGTTATTTTACACTTCCATTACTATTCTTCATAGGAATCAGAGGGTGATAATCTCTTGATCTCAGGTCTGAGTTCTCTGCTTAGTTAGTAACTAATCATTGCTTCACAGCTTTAACATTAAAAGGCTCTAAGAGAATATTTTATCCTCCATCATTGTTACTTCTCTTTCTTAATCGTAATAATACTTCCATTTCTATAAAAAAATACTTTGAAGAGGGGAAGACATGAACAGGGATACTTACACTTCTCCAAGCTTTATGCCCCGAACGTGATCCAGTGTAACCAAGATCTTGTTTAATATCTGAGACAACAAGAACCTTAAAAAAAAAAGAAGAAAAATCAGCATAATGGCATTGGAGATTGCTTAGTTTAATGATATTTGGACATGATTCACCTGGCCATTGGCTTCTTCAAGTTTATCACAAACAGCTAGCATTGCAGGCAAATAATCCTTTATAAGCACATCTTCCTTAACTCTTTCTAAAGCAAAACCATCTCCATTTTTTTCACTCTCCTTCTCAATACCATCCAAGGTGTAGTCTTCTTTGTTGATCTCAAATCTTTGTTGAGAGCCCAAATGCTTTGCATAACGATATAAGCACATCATATTTGTAGTCACACATGAACTAGTTTTTGACTCTCCTTCGATGCAATGTTCCTTTTTCCTCACAAGTGCTGGCTGTCTCACAATCAACCCTCGACATTCCAGGTTTCTCACTATATAAAACAAGTTTTTCCCTTCAATACCAAACTCTTTGGCGAGTTGATTTTGCGTTATTCCATTTGATCTGCAAATAACAAAATGTATCTCCAGTTTCTGTATCACTTCTATTGAGCCAGTGTTTCTCTGTGGGAAACAAGTTAAAAGCACAGCCAAAATCTTGCGATCCAATAATTGAGTGCAATCCAACAATTAAAAGTTTTGGCATCACGTCCATCCATGACTAAAATTGCTCAACTAGCATTAGTTTTGGGGCTTAAAATAAAATTAGTATATACAATCAACATAAGCAGGTAGATATAGGTATAAATACAAAGATACATGTCTGCACTTGTATAATCAAGCTGAACGCAATCAAACCTAAGGTTTCAGATTGAGACATTTAGTAGACATTACCATAAAATCCAACTAACTAAAGCTCCCGACCTTTACCATCAACACCCAACCAGTCAACCAACTCCTAGTCAAGCCTAAGAAAAGTACCACTTTTTTTCACGTATCACCAGAAAAACACAGAAGTTAAATGTGCCTCTATAATCTTCATCTGCGAATTACATTTAGAAGCACAACCTCCACCAAAGCTGACTTTTATGCAGGAAAACTAAACAAAAAAAGACCACCTATTTTAATTTTTATAAATATAAACGAATTCATTCAAACTGCTATCGCACGAAATCGAGCACAATCCTAAGCCATATTCTGAACACTTTACATCACAATCACTGCCAACGTACAGAGCAATACATCCACCAATTACCACTTATAAGCCCAAAAAAAGAGCGCCAGCAAAGCGGAGTAACTTCTTTTTCAGCAACTAAATGCTCACAGGTATGCTAGTGGAAACAGTTTGTGAAAATAAAAGAGAAATACGAGCAAACCTAGCAATGGCAAGCCGCTCGAGAGCACGACGCTGCACGGCGGAAAAGTTAGAGGGCGCATCGTAGAGGCCAACGAAGTTGTCCCTCAGTTGCTCATTAGCGATGATCCTCAAACCAAGCTTCTCGGCGTCTTCGAGGCACTGAACCGAACTGTCAGCATTGTTATAGCGTGCGTTTCTGGCCTCGAACTGAAGGGTGGGAACCAAGAGGAGATTTTTCCATATGCTAGCTTTGAGGGACGGAGAGAGAGGGAAGTCGGCTGAGAGTTTAAACCAGAGAGAGGATATAGAGAGGCCAGCGTTGCCATGGGAGCAAATCTCTTCAAGCGCTGAGGATATGATCGAGTCCATTCACTGCAGGCTAAGGCAGTAGGAAGCCTATTTGGATGGCCAGAAACAATAAAATTCGCCGAGAAAAGTAAAATAAACTATGCGCCCATCTTATACGTTTGGGACTGGAATTATGGCGGAGCGAAAAGAAAACACAGGACAAATTGGGAACTGGAACTGAGGAAGAAGATGGAAGATTTTGGCATGTTTGGGAAGCCGTTTAATTTTAGATGGAATTGGGATAGTAATAACACCGTTGACGTTATGCTGACGTATAAATGTGCCCAATATTATATTTTATTAATAATTTAACAAAGGAGTAAAACATTAAATATTAAAAAAATAGTTGTATATTAAAAGTTAAGTTTTATATGATGTAATAATAAGTATTTATTAAGCTCATAAAAGTTAGGAACTGATCAATGGTAGGATATTTATTCCACAGCATCGAAACCGGAGTTTGATATTT